CTCTCTGTCAGTCCTTCAGACATAAGCTAGTTCTGTGTCCCTTTCAAGGGATTTCCCCCTCCAATCCCTTGCTTTTGCTTTTTTCAATGACCCTTACACTAAATGCTACTTTAGATTTATCCCCCTCCTTCAATCATATTAACATCGACTTATCCTTGACTACTTATTTGCATTCAGTTCTGTAATATCTTATATAAGTTTCATCTCCTTAGTCGATTTTCACATCAAAGTCTCTGCCCTGTTCTGTATTTCTCCTTGGGAAAACAGAGTTTCAGACCTCATTGAAAAAAGCATTTTTTCTCATAATAGAGTGTGCTCAATTTTGCAGCATAGGTGATCTTTGGGGGCACAGGTCAACTTCATTAATTTTTCAGTATATTGCAGTCTGTACTCTTTCAATGAGTAATCATGAGCAATTCAAATTAGTGCTGTTGATAATTGTCCATTGCTCCTCCTGGCTGTTTGCAAGACTCTCTCCTTGACTTTGAAGCTCTAGAACTTGGTGACTACATTTCTGGGAGAGTTAAATAGAATTCCTCCTTATTGGCTTCCTGTGATTTCTATCGATTTGCACTCTACCCACTCTGCAATTTTCATATTTCTTGGCATATGGTAGTTAGACTTTATTTCTTTGTATTTTCTGAGACCTGTAATTCCCCGATTTCCTCATTAAGCTCCATTTTCTAGCTCTCTAGCTGATTCAGTTTGCAGTGGTTGGAGGTCTTCTTCTAGTATTACATTTTTTAAAGATCGCTCTTTTTTCTTTCATCTCTGATTTGGTTTTCTACCAGAGTCATGCTCAGTCAGTCTTCAGAATCCACTGCTTCATTGAGATTTTTCACTCTCTTCTATTTTATCGCTTCTTGTGTATGTCTTCTTGAATTCACCTTTCAGATTCTTCCTTCCAATCTTATATGTACCAACTATTCCTATATATCTCTTACTGTAAGTCAACACCATTCTGAAGGTTCTTTCGATATGCCCGCTCTCTCTTCTAGGTATTTCCTTATGGAGATCTTTATTTTTATAGTAGCATTTGTTTATTATATTGGGGTCTCTTTACTGCCTATTAATTTTTTTTCAATTTTTCTGTTATCCTTTCCTTTTTGCAACACTTCAACAACCTCGATGCTATGTTTAATTTCTGCTTGCATTTTGTTAGCAATAAGGATGCTGAAGGGTGTCAGTTTTATTATTCAGCATCTATTATGTCTTGATATTGAAATTTTAATTGTGTGCCACTAAGTTATGTATTTTGCCTTGTAATTTTCTGTTCAAGGCGATATGCTCCAACTTTATGATGACAATAGCACCCTTATAGAGAATGCTTTCCTGTTTTCCCCAATACCAGCTGTTTAATCACTACCATTCGCAAGTCAAAGAAATGCACCCACATCTATGTAGCACCGAAAAGGTCATCTCAGAAGCCGACAGATAGTCTGTGTCATGGTGTCCAGTGCTAAAGGTAGAAAATGTTCCCTACTGAAAGTTGGGAGATAAGCCTCCCAGGTAGAGGAGGTCAGTCTAAAATAGGATGGATTGTTTTTATGTTGACCCCTTCTCATCATTATACTCCATATGGCTCTAGGCCAAAGCCAACTGGATATGACTTTTGTTTTTATCTGGAATATGCCAGATCATCCTTCTGGGAAGGTGACCAGGCAGACATTTCTCCAGGCCATAGTGGGTCTGCTAATTTAAAAGCCAGATGGTACTAATACTTATTCCCAAATCACTGAACTGAGAATTACAAGTTCAAAGCAAGAATTTGTATCACTGTGTTAGGGGTGGATAATCTAAACCCTGGTGTAACAAAAACTCATGAAGGTGAGCATGATACAGTATGACTAAGGAACTTGTAAAGCTCAAAGGTTTCCATTTCAGTCCTTTTCCTGATTTGGTCTGTAACTCCAACCAAAACCATCTTGTATGCATTATAGGAAGAAAAATGTATTATACTAACTTGGAAATAGTCACAGCCTTGTTATAAGGAAAACTTTCAAAATTAATATTTTCAAATATTTTGCAAACAAAAAATATTACACATCTATTTTATATGTTTTAGTATAGAAACCCAAGGCTGTAATTAGAAGCCAATTATTGGATATTTTGCCCATTTTATTGATACTTGGATTATTTCCCAGGGGGACCATGAAGGAAGAAAAGAATTCTACTGTCACTATCTAATTTACCAGACTTTCTCTTATGATGTTGTCATTATTACTGCAACCACCACTGCCCTGACCATCAAAGTTATTTATAAGGCCTTTCCAGTACCTGTAAGTTATATCCATAATTTGAAGGTTAGCACACATCTATTCTGGTATTCTTAAAGAAAATAAAACTTATTTTTAAATTATTTTATTCAAAGGACTTAATTTCATAGTATGTCTGTCAGTGATGTGAAGAACCATTTTAGAAAAGGAAAAAAACTAAGTCATCCACAAGGGAACATGGCTGATTCATGCTGTATCAGCCAGTCAGTGACAAGGCCAGAAATTGGATGCAGATTTTCTGATTCAAATGAACCTACCTCTGACTAGCCTATCCTGATTTCAGGCCTATTGTTGGTTATAAAAATGAAGGAGTTTGTTGAACAAAGCTGGCATTGTGTGTACTCATCACTCTCAGATATTTAGATGAATATGGGATTGCACCAAGGTGGGCATTCCCTCCAATGCTATGGATTACCACATGTCTATGCCTGCTTATTCTCCATAACTCTTGCCTGTGCCCACCCCTGTATTAATACCTAATGTGTTAGGGGACTTTCTTGCCTTCTCTTGACCTCATGAGAATAAGGCACCATGAACAGAGCACTGAGCTTCAAGTCAGGAAGACCTGAGTTCAGATGTGGCCTCGGACACTTCTAGATGTGTGAGCAAGTCATTTCATCTCTGCCTCAATTTCCCTAACTATAAAATAGGGGTAATAACAGCATCAATCTCTTGGGGTTGTTGTAAGGATAAAATTAGATAATATTTGTAAAATGCTTATTAAAGTACCTAGCACAAAGTAAGAACTTAATAAATGTTAGCTATCATCATCATCATCATCATCATCCCTAATTCTCCCTATGTGACCACATTCTTTTTTGGCCATATAGTTCTTGGATGGTATAGTATAATCCAGTTATCCTTAGTAATTCCTTGTTTTTATGGTGATGCAGCTTGCTCCCACCTACCATACTGCCTCTCCTTTTCCCTTGGAAGGATGCTTATTTTCAATTCATTGGAAGCTATAATGTCCCATGACTTACAAGTCATACAGACATACAATACCAGCAGCATATAGGTATTAAAAAGATATGCCTTTTTTCAGAGTGATGTTTGAGTGTCATTAAAAAGAACTTTTCCATTTCCTAAAGACAGTCCAGCCCACCCTCCTCTTCTTCAACTCCAGGCCTTCCTCACTGTTCATTTACCATGTCAGTAAATGAGTTCCATGGGAGTGACTGCATATCGAAGTCTGAATGAGTGGCAGTCTTCATCCGTTTGCTTTTTCTTGTATTTGTTAGGAATGATTCTTTTGAGTGATTCTAGATCTATTCCAGGAGGCTCTGTAGCATTACAGGGCTTGATTCAAGCAGCCCAGATAGAGGAGGTCAGTCTAGAATAGGATGGATTGTTTGCATATTGATCAGTATTATCCATAAACAGGAGGATCTAGAGGACCTCACCCTCTATAGGAAATCCCTCTTCAACTTGGACTCTGCACTAGTTCTCCTCCATGACAGAGGCAAATACTTTTGAGTATCATGGGTCTTCCCATTTTTTTCTCTCCTGAAATTAAAAACATTAAAACATTAAAAAAATTAAAAGTTATCTTCATCATTAGAACTTTCAATCAACCTCATAAATTTTCACATGTTCACTGGAGACATCTGTTTGGAGGAGAGCCTTTAAAATGGAATCCTGCTCTACTGAATTAAATGCTTCCTCATAGTCAATAAACAATAAGCACCATGGGATCTTATATTTGATATGTCTTTCAGCCAATTATGTGATGGTAAATATGGGGCTTACGATGGAACATCCCCTGTGAAATCCTGCCTGTTCCTCATCAAAGGTACTCTTGAAGTATCAGGAGACTATTTTTGTAAAAATTGTAAAGAAATGGGAAAATAGCTATGTGTCAGTAGTTGTCAATGTTCTCTTGGTCTCCCTTTATCGTAATAGGTTCTATTTTTTCTGTTTCTTTGGTGTCTTTCCTCCCTGTAGATCCCTTGGGACTCCATCCATGGGTGCTATCACAGTTGCATCCCCTCCACCACAAACTTCCTCTGTATAGACTTGGTCTAGCCCAGCCGCTTCTTTCATCTTTGTCTTCTTCAGCACCATCTCTAACACCTCTATGAGCAGATCTAAGACCACGATGTTATAGTACAGGCGTGGTGACTCCTCTGTCCTTGATGGTAACAAACGTTACAAAAATCTTTGCAGATATTTTCTGTCTTTCATCCATTTGTCATCCCGGTTTTGTCCTTAAATTCCCTTGGAATGCCTTGGCTCAGTTGGGTCTCCCAGCCAAGTTTTGCTTAAACTAGGTTCACCCTCCACTGCGTCTCTCTGTTTTGTGAGGCTATACTGCTCATAATCTTCCACCATCCTTCTTTGTAAGATTTTATAAATGAGTATACGTTTTAAACTGATTCTGCTTTTGGCTGCCATATCTCTCTCCTTTGCAAGTAAAAGAATTTGCTGACTAACGCATATTTTAGATCTTTTGGTCTTCCCATTGGGACAGTTTATTTACATCAGGTAAACTTATGCCTGAAGTTATAATCTAGGTTGACTTCCTTTCTTCTCTCCGTATGCCATTTGCTTTAAAAGGTCTGATTGAAGATATGATTGCATGTTATGTGCCCTTTCCCTTTTTCTTCTGGTTTTGTATTAATTCTGACTTTGTTCCACAAGTTGGTAGCTGAGCAGGACACAGACAGCTGATGCGTTTGCCTACTCATTAATTTTGTTTGTTGGGTTTTTTTCCCTTTGATGCAGGAACCTCAAAGTGAGTTGCAGGCAGAATTCAAGCCTCTTACCCTAAAGAACATCTCTTCTCTGCCAGTCCGGGTGACACTGAGCACCAAAGAGCCCTTTTACCTGTGCGACCTGGACCACTCCCTTCTGTACCAGCCCTGTGGGGTGAGCAGACAGCACCCTTACCTGATGGCAAGCACTTTGGGGTTATGCGGGCAGTGAAAAAAAACCCGTGAGCCAGACCAACTTCATTCTGTCGGCTCTCAGAATATTAAGGGGCCTCACCTACTCTCTACTCGAAGCCTTCTGCCATATGTCCAAGGAGTGACTCTTCATTTTTAACCTAGTATTGTGCAGAGGGACCCTAGCCAGTAAGCATATAAAGCTGAAAGTTGGAAATTACCTCTCATAAAAATCTAGCCCAGTCAACAGGACATTTATCTAAAAACCTGGAGTTCTCTATGATGCCAGTTTCATTGCTGGCATGATTCAGGCATAGTGGGCACATTATGCTCTGCAGATACTGTGGTCCCTAAGGATTTTGTCTAAAATGTTGCCACGCCATTTCTAGCAGTAGGACACAAAAGATGGTTGGGGGCCTGGCTTTCGACTCAGAATTAGTTAGAGAAGCTAGTCTATAGGATGTACTTAATAAACGTTGATTGAGCGGTAGTCATTATCTGGAACTTTCATCAGATAATCAGTTTTACTACCTAGAACCACCTTGAAGTGGACCCTTAAATGACCCAGTTTTAAATGACCCAGCTGTGCCTTGCTCTAAAAGCAGCTTGATTATTAAGTGAGTAAGTGATTCATTCAGTGTTTACTATATGGCAAGCTGTGTGTGAAGGCCTGGACATACAAACTGAAAAGGGAGATGGCCGCTGCTTTCCAGAGCTCACCTGATAATCAGAGGATACAAGGAAAGGAGAGGTTAAACCATAGAGAGAACTGCGTTATTGTTTTGTTTATCATCAAGACTTAAAACTTAAAAACGTTAAAGTGTACCTGCTTACATTGGAAAGCCAGTCAATAAATATATGCCAGCACAGCCAGGTGGTCCTCCATTTTACAAGAAGGGTTGTGATGGGTGACTCCCTGCTCATCCGGTTGGTATCATGACATATTTTGAAGGATGAGAGTGCAGGGGTGTCCTGGAGAAGCCCTGCCCACACAGATGGCAAGGGGAGGAGAGGCCCTGCAGATTGGAATGAAGCAGAGGCATGGGGAAAGGGCTGTGGTAGGGTAGGGCTAGAATCCAGCTGCAAAGGGGAAAGGAGTAGGAGCTATTAGTGGAAAGGCTAGGGAAGAGAGAGGGTTCTTCTGGTACCTAGTAGAGTCTGGCCACGATCAGGTAATGGACCTGCTCCTGCTCTACTGCCTCTGAAGGATTTCTTGAGCCAAGATGGTGCAGGCTTTGGGCCATGGGAAAGTGGAACCAGGTAAAATTTAGGGAGTGGGGTGAGGAGAAAGAAATCATCACGTCCAGCCTTTCCTATGGGAAGATTTTACTGTGGACATTGGAATTCAGAAGAACATAAAATATTTCAGTCCAATAAGATAAAAAACAAATACATTCTAAAGAAGTAACTAAAGAGTATAGTAATCCCTTCAAACCCTCCAGAAGATTGCTGAAAGCCCATACCACGAAAACCAAGCTACAGACTTAGGATCACAGACATTAGCTAAGAATTTGAATGACCTAATCCATTCTTTTAGGGACCATTCCCCAAATATTTTTTTTATTGATCCTTTGTCAAATCTGATTTTAAAAGTCTCCATCAATTAACTTGTCCTCATTTTCATAGAAAGAACATGAGGCAGCTAGGCGATATGTGCATAGAGTGTTGGACTGGGAATTGAAAAGACCAGAGTTCAAATCCTGCCTCAGAAGCTTGCCAACTGGGTGACCCTGGGCAAATTACTTAACTTTTTTTGCCTCAGTTTCCCCATCTGTAAAATTGGGATAATAATAGCATCAAATTGCAGGATTGTTGTGAGGATCAAAAGAATAAATGTGAAGCAAATATAAAAGTGCTATGATAATGCAAGCTGTTATTATTATTTAGTTCTGCATTTTTCCTTCTATACTTGTCCCCTTTATAATCTTACAATTCTTATTACAATCTCATCCCTTTAATTTCCCATGCCTATATTTCTTTATAGTAGGCTTTCTTTTTCTATTGCAAAATAAGATGCAAAACAGATTTAGTTGCATTAAACTTTTGTTGGTCAGTGTGTGGTATGATGGGAAATAGTCTGAGGATTGGACTGTGTTTCTTAGAGCATTAAAATGCATGGTATAAAAAGTGGCTAATGTTTCTTATACACAGCCTTTGGAAATGGCAGTTGGGGCGGAGAAGAAATTGATGATCAAGTTTGACCCGTGCATCCGAAGTGATTTAAACCAATGGGTAGCCGAAGAAGACCTGACCATCAAGTATGTCGAGCATCCCCAGGTGGACTATATGAGCCTAAGGGGAGAAGTTCATTTCCCTAACCTCACCTTTGAGACCATGGAAGTGGACTTTGGCTGCATCCTGAACGACACAGAGGTGATTCGATACATCCAAATGGTCAACTGCAGCCCCCTGGTGGTGAAATTCCGATGGTCCTTCCTTGTAGATGACAGTGACAACCAGATAAGGTAGTGTCTGGCCTGGCAAAGCCTGATTCTCTACTTTTTGAGTCTCTCCTCCTGTCTTCTCTTTCTTATTTGAGGTTTGAGCCTGCTTTGCTATGGCCCGTGTCTTTGTCTTTCTATGAATCATTCCAGATCCAGACAGTTGATTTAATGAAATCTCTAGAAGCACCACATTTCAACTAACTGAATTCAGTGGCATCCATGAGGGTCTAGGTGCAGTTATAAGGATTGTCTTTATAAGGATGCCCCTGATGCTACTGAGGGTTGGGAGGAATGTCTGTGTGTGTTTGGAGAGTTCCTCCAGTAAGCTAATCAACCACGATGAATGAATTCATCAGACCAGGTGACTCTCACTCACTTACTCTCCAAGTGGGAAGAGATCTCAGAGGTCATTAAGTTCCATGTTGAGTTACGTGCTTTAAGTTGCAGCACTGACTGGTCACTGTTCTCCTAATAATCCTACTAAAAATTTCTTTGAGCCCCAATCCCGACTTTTAAGAACACAGTTGTTGTTAGCTGTTTTTCAGTCATGTCGGACTCTTCATGACCCCAGTTGGGGTTTTCTTGGCAAAGACACTGGAGTGGTTTGCCATTTCCTTCTCCAGCTCATTTGATAGCTGAGGAACTGAGGCAAACAGGGTGAAGTGACTTGCCCAGAGTCACACAGCTAGGAAGTGTCCGAGGGCAGATATGAACTCAGGAAAATGAGTCTTCCTGCTTCCAAGCCCAGTGTTCTATCCACTGTGCCACCTAGTTACTGGTAGTGAATAACTATTTATGTAGCACTGATATGTGCCAGGCACTGTGCTAAGTACTTTTTATAAACTGTCACAAAACCCCTGTGATGTAAATGCTATCATCATCCCCACTTTATCGTTGAGGAAGGTGAGGCCACCAGAGGCTCAGTGACTTGGCTACAGTCACATAACTAGGAAGTATCTAAGACCAGATTTGAACCCAGGATTTCCTGACTCCAGACTTAACACTCCATCTACTGTACTACCAGCTGCCTCCTACGGTAGATGCATTAAATCTAAGATTCTTTGATTTTTATAAAGAATAGCCAAATGAGAATAGAGAAGAGAAAAGTAGAATTTCTGATATCAGTTTTTGGAGGTAGCCCTCTTGTTAAGTTAGGTTTTAATTCAATTAAAATCTAATCCTGAATTTTGTTTTAATTTTGGAAATAATCTTTTGGGAGTAAAAAAAAGTCCTCCATTTCAGACATTGCTGGGTAAAATTATTCATCTCCTCCTGTGTCCACTGGGGTATTGGTGTTTCTGAATATGTCTTTCTTTTCTTTAGGCAACTCAAAGGCAGAATCAGTTTTCAGATTTTAATTAGCCTGACCTTCATTTCAAATGCCCATCATATTATGAAGGCACTTCATACTCTCCCGACTTGTTAGTGCTTCTGTGTGATCCCCATTTTATAGCTGACAATCAGAGCCCGTTCTTCAGCTCTGTGCTTGTTAATGAAGCAATCATGAGCTCTCTCTGGCGTCTCCAGTGGGTACCTAATGACCGTCCAAGGCCGTGCTTGGAGTGCTCAGCTGGCCCTCACTGGAGCCTCCCACACATCAGGATGCTCATTAAGTGGCCCAGAGAAAACAGGAGCAATGTACCATAGATGGTTTTTGTTTGGCATTTAAATATTGTCAATATTTAACATCTTAAATAGTTGTCGGAAAGCAAGTCAGTCTGGCGTAATGGGCATGACCCATCTCGTTCTGTGGAGTGATATTGATGTAGCACAGCTTAATGAGTTTTTTCCAACTGGGGCCAAAGGACATTCTTTCTTTTTCTTTGGATACACAGGGCCTGCAATTAAAATTGTGACATTTAAAAACTGTATTTGGCCAAAGCTACATTAAAATACCTAGCATGGCATCAATTTGTGTCTGCATAAATCGATTTAGAGCTCTCTCCCTACCCTTTTTGATACTGACTGCCATGGGGACATGGGGAGTTTGCACATGAACACATACAGAAATTTGGACAGGAGAAAGTCTCTCTTCTGAACCAAGTGGAAGGCTTTTCTGCAACTGAGCCTCGTTCCTTGGCTCCTGCCATCAGTTCTTCCACCTTGGCATTGCAATCAACAGGCATTATCAGAAGCATTTGGTTTATGGGTCTTGAAGGAGAAAAGTAAGTAAGCAACAGTCTCATTTTTCTTCACAGTAGAGAGAAGAAATAGAATTTTATATTTAATAAATTGGAAACAGAAACCCTAGGTTCTGTCCTCAACTCTGCCATTGCCCATTAATGAGACAGTGTTAGTGTTGAAGCCGATTATTTGACATCCAGAGAGGAACTAAGAGCTCTTGTAGGTGAACTGGCTCCTCTACCTCTTTTCAACCTGGGAACGTGTCAGTTGGTCTGTCGAAGTCTTTGTAAGCAGAAAAGGAGACCCTGGTCATGGAAGAGTATAATGAACCCTGAGCATATGGGAGACATGAGTCCTGGGTTTTAATCTCAGTTCTGCTCTATGTTGGTTGATAACCTTGAACAAGTCACTTTCTTTTTCTGGGTCTCCGTTTCCTCATCTGCATAAGGAAGGGCTTTGACTGAATGCTTTTTAATGGCCTTTCCAGCTCCAAAGTTCTATGATGTCATGAATAATGATAATAACCATAACAACAATATTGGTAACCTATTAGGTATTAATCATTGATTGATGATTTGACAGTACTTTGGCCATCACCCAAGAAATAACTATAACTATAAATGTACATATTTATGAAAACTTTCCAAATCATTTATTTGGTTTTTTTTCAATGTAAATAATCTTAATTCATCCAATTTCTCCTCATAGGTCCTGATTTTCAACCCTTATAAAGGGCTTTAAATTCCAGAGGGCTTTCTACCTGTTTCTTTCTGTGACAGGGAGCCACTGGAGTTTACTGAAAAGGGAGAAGAGGGTGACATTGCCAGATCTGTACTTTAGGAAAATCACCATGGAAGCTGTGTTAAGGATGGATTGGAGAGAGAGGGGAGACTTGATGCAGAGAGGTAAATTAGGAGGCGAGAGGTGATGGATGCCCGAACAAAGACAGTTGCTGTATGAGGGGAAAGAAAGGGGCAGATGGGAGCAATGTGGAGGTAGAAACGATAAGATTTGGCAACTGATTCAGTGACAGCCTTTGACCTCTGAGAGCTTCTGATTTAAGATGGAAGCACCCACAGTCACCCAAAGGCCACACAGGAACAATTGCCTTAATACTGAGCAAATATGTTGATTGCTAAGGAAAATTTAAACAGAATGTAAGCTTGAGAGCAGGGATTGGTCCATTGGTTTATTTTATGTTGAGTATCTTGCATATGGTGGGTGGTTCATGAGTGTTTATGGTTGGAACTGAATTCATACAGATGCTCCAGTAAAACCAGACTATTAACCAATTATAATTATCAGCCCACAAAAGCACTTTTTTTTTTTTGGTAAGAAGAGAATGACAATACTGTTTTGACAGCCTCTCTTCCTTCACTGTCAGGCCAGGTGTCTTCCGTCCACATCATACTGAAAGCTCATGGAGACCTCATCATTTTTAGGGGAGCTCACATTTCATAAGGAAGAAAAAGATTCCTTGCACTTTAGTTAGGAATCACAAAATGCATGTTGGCAAAACATCATTCTTATTAGATGCCTCTTCGTTACATTGCCAGCCTTCCCTTTCTAATTAGAACTTTCTTTGTCTTTTTAATTAGGAAAAGAGGGTTTTCCTTTTTGCATTTCCTAATAGGCTATTTGGTTGGTAGATACATACATACATATATATATATATATATATATATATATATATATATATATATATATGTATGTATATACTTGTCAGATTATTTTTTGTCATAATATACTAAAAACTTTGAAATGCCTGCATAAGGGATGCTCAAAACACACAGTGATTCTGATGACATGTGTACATGTTTATTATAGGCGATTCTGATTCTGAATTTAAAAGCATCTTCCTCATGGGGACCCATGAATTTTTCCCCCACTTTTGGTCTTTATTCTCCATTGCAAGAACAAGGCAAGATCTCTGTATGAGGAGCAAGTCTGAAAACGTGAGCACCAGATAAAATGAAAGGCTCCTTTCTGGGAATATGGTACTTAGACTGGAAGAGGAAATGTATATGTTGTGGTATAACAGCATGATGTGTTTATACTCACTCCTTGTACACTGTCCTTGTAACTGAGGAACCAGGGAGAAATAAGTACAGGTATGAATGCCAGTGTAGATGCATCATCACAAGAATACATTCCTTCAGTTGAGGAAGAGCTGGACTGGTCAGCCTGGTGAGAAAATTATCTCTGTGGAGGATTTATACAGAGATGGCTCAGAGCTTCCATTGGCCTTTCCTTTGAAAAAGCCAGACTGGCAGTCCTGAATGTCAGTTGGGAAAGAAAATATTGGCTTATGAGGGTGTCTGCATTTCGGGACTGGTTACTAAGAACCTGAGAGGAAGTCATGCCTTAGAAGGAATGGGCACAGCAGTTATCAATAGCAGTCTTACCATTATTTTTCCAAATAGGATCATGTTATGCGGAAGAGAGAATTGCTTTGTTCAGCCCTAGAGGATGCAATTAGGAGTAATGGGCAGCAGTTGCCGAGGCCCATTTGAGCTGGACGTAAGGAAAAACTTCCTATTAGCTTCAGAACTATCCAAAAGTGAAATCAGTCATCCCAGGAGGGAATGGATTCCTCCTCAGTGGTGGTCTTCAAGCCGAACACTTTGAGGGACTTTCAAGAGGGGGTTCTTGGGCAGGCAGGCAGGATTTGAAAGCTACAGCCTTTGAGGCCTCTTCCAGCCCCTAGATGCTGCAGGTTATTGCCTCTGCCATCTTATTCCAGAACATATGACGTGGCCAGCTGAAGCCATCTTGAAAAATAAACTGCCATACTATCTTTTAACAAAACACTTAGATTAAAATACTCCTATTTTAAGACCTAACTCTAATGTTCCTCCATTCAGAATGCTTTCCCTGATTCCTCAACTAACAGTCAT